TAACATTTTCTTGGAAATGGAAACATGTGGGTGATATGCTGAAGGGTCTTCTTTATAATTGAATGTCAGATTAGCAAGAGTCTATTGCATTTATAGCATAATGTTAGTATTTTTTTTATTTAAAAGATACATTTAAAAATTTATTCAAATTATGGATAAATTTATCATTAAAAAAGTTAATGTTAACAACAACAAAGTATAGTTTATTAATGTCCAAATATTAACAACTGCAGGATTTTGATACACATACATGTGTCCACTTTGGGTAGAGTGTGTATATTCACTTTGTTTCATTTCAGTGATAAATTGAGCGGAATTTAGAGCAAAAGAAAGTGTGTATTCAACCTTTGATATGAGCTGGTAGAAATGTTAAGAATGTGAGACCTGTTTCCTTCCATGTAACTCCCTCCTTTATTTGTGTAGTGTATGCACTCCATAAGGTAAATTTTTCTTTATCTGTACACTCAAATGTGAACTTACCATAATTATGCTAACAATAGTACTGCAAACCTTCAATATAGTGAGTCAATAATTAAAGGTATGTACGTAGGCCATCATTATTTGCTAAGATTAATAATTACAGTAATAATGTAAAGGGTAATGTGCTTATATGATAAACAGAAGTCACAGATTAGGATTAAATATCATATCAATCTTTTTCCTAATATTTTCTGAAAATAAATTTCATTGTAATTATTTTACATGTGTACAATGAAAAAATTAACAAAACAGCCAGGAAGTTACATTAAATGTATACTAAAGATCAGTGGTGACATCATTTTCTATTACATTTAATGATTTGAGTTTAAATGTATTGTGTATTACTGTTTATTTTAAATGTATTGAAGTTTATTCCATTTACATTTCATTGGAAAATTTAAATTTTTTCAGTTTCATGTAATGTAATGGGCATTTGTCTTTACAGACATAAGTAAATTTACCTACTTTCACTTCTCTTGATTTAAGTGGGTAAAACTGCTAAATCAGTGTTGCCACCTTTTCAAAATTGCTGACTCTGTTCAGGTCAGCAGTTTTGAAAAGGTGGCAACACTGTCTTGACCTGGTCATAACCAGTTTTGAAATTCGTTTTGTATCAGTCAATCTTTATTAAATTTATAAGTTTGCTTCTTCTTTTTTGGATTTTCAATCTCTTGAATTGTCATATTAAATAATTAAAATAGAAATTATAAACTTGTAAACTGAAACAATCAGGGTCCATCAGTTGCCAAGCGGTTCTGTTCCCTGAACACACCGGAAGTTTGGTCGTGGGTTTGTGCCTTTGCAGGATGGGCTGGCCACATGGAGTTTTCTGGGTTTTCTCCATGTCTGTAACACCTGAATAGGGGCCAGTTACCCTTAAAGAGACCTCCTGGAAGGCATCCCCTAGGCAGATTGACCAAGTATTGTGTTGCCGTAACTTAATAAAACAAACAAACGAAACTGTCACATTTATTTTACAATAGGTTTGTTTCAACACAAGTCCCTGACCGGGATGGCCAGATGGCCGAGTGGTCAAGGTGTCAGCCTACCACTCTGGGAGACCTGGGTTTGAATCTGGATGGGTTGATAAATTCCCAGGAATTTTTCAGGGGTGGTTTGTCCGGATATGTTGGGCCCCATCCCTTACCACACGGTTAGCCCTTGTAGACCTGGCCAAATCCATAATGGGTTTGCTAAAAGAGACCCTCTTAGTGCCCACAGGGTAGAAAGAGTTTAAAAAAAAGTCCCTGACCGGTTTGAATTTGAATCTGTACAAGACATGTGCAAAGTCATTTTACAGCCAAGAACTAAACAATGCGCATGCCAGTTTTAAACCAGTTAGAGACTTGTGTTGGAACAAACCTAATATTTGCCAGAGATATTTGCAAGTTAGAATTTTAAAAGTACATTCTCTGTCATCCTTACCCTAGGAATAAGTTTGGGTGGGGGCGTGAAGTTAAAGTCTTTAGCTGTTAAAATAAAGTACGCACAAATATTTTTATAAATTTATTTTGTTTCATCATACTTTCACATTTCTATGAAAACCAGACAAATTAATAATTAATTTGGACCATGGATTTAAAACCTGGCTTGTCTGGGTGAAAACCAGCCTGGTGGCAACACTACACTGAATACAGTTGACCCCCCCCCTATAACACTGTTGATTTTTCCATATTATATAAATTCCATGTTGTACAAGTCACTTAGATTTTACAAATACGTGAGCTGAAGCATGAATCAATGTGTTAGCTGCATAGGGGTTATCCAGATTTTCTTCACACATCTATCACTTAAACAGGCCTGTGTTTTTTAGAAAGTCTTCCTTTAAGGTACTCCCGTTGGCAGATGATTCATATGTTGAAACCTATCTACCCTTCTCTTATCTCGTCCCTTTCTTAGAAATGGAAGGCAACCTTGCAGTAGGGATAGGCAAAAGAATATTAAATTTATACTGTGAAGATAATTATTTTAGAAGATATTAATTAATGTATTTTGTCAGAAAATGTAATAAATTATTGCTGTATAAAGAAAACATCAATTATCTTATCATTTTTCTAATGAGTTGATGGGCACATTTTTTCTCTATTCTCCTTGCAAACTATGGAAGACCATTTAACTGAGAATCATAAAACTTTATGGTCCATTTAAGTAAAAATAGCAGCTGAAGATGCTAGAGGCTATTCTTTTATGAGCATTCAAATATCAGAAGAAACAGGAGCTGTCATTTGAGATAAAAACTGGATGCTTTTGAGTAAATCTGCTTTTGACCTACTTCAAGTGTATCATCTTATAAACATCTCAGCACTGAGCCATTATAAAGTGTAAGAGGATGTAAGTTGGAAAGGAAAATAGAGTAATTGACCAAAAAGAGGTGAAGTATGACTTTGATGGATGATGTGACAGATAAGGAGAAACTGTCGGACAGAAATGAGGGAGACATTGTCTCTGTTGTTTAAATACATATCAGTAAGAATATTGGATGCCTTCCTTATACCTGACAGTTTCTACCTAATCTTTCGTTCCCCTATCAATGTCATATTACAGCTCTCCTTAGTTGTTTACTCTTTGATCTTTCTTATCCTGCATCTAACTTAGCATATATTTTTTTTATGCTTGAAGATGACCAATTAACCAAGGCAGAAACATTTGTATTTCTTCAAACTGTTATCTACCCAAAAAAACTCAAAAAATAGGGAAACAGTTTGATGTTTGTGTGTATTTTGATATTTTAGGACTGTGTAAAGATTAAGAAATGAAATTTAGCATAGTATGTTTGTATATAAGGGCATTGATGATGATAAATTTTGGTGTTTAAAGGTGGGAGAGACGAGCCCCCTCTTCCCCCACCCCACCTTTAACCACCAAAATAGGAGGTCAAGTGTCTTGGTTAAGTCTTATTGATTTCTGAATTTTAGCAAAATTCTATTCTGTCAAATTTAATGGAGCACTTTGGACATTAGTTGACATAATTCCATTTTTTATAACATATTTTTTATAATATGTGACATATGACCTTTAACCTCACACCCTGATGATAAATTGTAACGTTGTAAATATAAGTTGAAGCGTGAGCGATTTGAAATAATTATATAGCTAATTGGACAATTTGTTAGAGAGGACTTCATTAAAAATTGAATTATTTAGATAAATATTGACACTACAAGCTTGAAATTTTAGGTTGCAGGTGTTTGATGTCTTTGCAACAAAGCCCAAACAGATGCTCTGTATACTAAACACACATGTTGAATAAATTCTAAACATTTCCAAACATTTCTGTTTATCTTCAGATATGAAAATAACTAAAATATGTAATTAACATAAATAAATTTCTCCAAAACAACACTTAAATGGCCTTTAAAGTATTTAAGCTGATACAAAAGTTACGCAATTTATTGCAAGCATTGATGTATTATTTGTTGCAAATAATCCAGTTATACCTGTAACTTACAAATATTAAAAATTTGTTTACTAGGACATTTTTGTAATATTTTCTCCTGAAAATGGGTAATTTGGAGGTTATTATAAATAGAATTTATTGTTTATGACTTTATTAAAGCAGACATTTTTGTTGATTTGTGAAAACCTGAAGGATTTTCTTGAATCTGGATGGCCTTTTATTATAGAAAATACAGGAATTACTTATAAAATATGGTCAAACATCTATGTTATAATGTCTATATTATAAATTTAACTTTTCAATAAACCTTTCTGAGAGATTGTGAAAATACATCCTTTTTACTTTAAAAATGTCCCCATTTAACAAAGCTTAATTTTATATGATGATAATTCAAAAGCTAGATTTATTGGTTTAAACACTGACTTGTTTTTGCAACTCCTGCTAGTCGGACGTTTATTACAAGTAAAATATAATAACGTACTGTGGGTGAACCATCAAACATTAGCATTTTCTGGGTTTTTTTCCATCCAAACAGGGACCAATTTCTTATGGATACCCCTCTCAGGATCTACCCTGCTTTATAGCTTGCCTGAGTGTTATGTTGTCTTATTTCATTAATTCAATACTGTATTATAGTCTAAGGTTAAAATGTCTAAGATGATATTAATAAAATTATCAGGCTATGTGTTAATAATTAATATGGTGTAAAAGTAACCCTATTATTTTAGCTAGATGGCTTAATCAGTTAAATTATTGCTTATCTAGTCATAAAGTATTGGTAAAATAATAGTGATATTTACTATAGAACAGTGATAACTATAGTGTTCTAACTGTATATAATATAAATAGATGCAGCTGTCTGAAATGCATTTTGATAAAGGATGTGGCTCTCATGTATTTGTAATTTTTTTTCCTATCATGACGAGGCTTGGCATCCTGGTATAGGCGTATACAAGAAATGACAAAATTTGAAAATAAGAACTGCAAATTAATGTGTATTAAGTGAACTAAAATGCTTTAAAAAATTAATTATTCAATTTATTTTAATTAAAATAATGCTTTGTTAATAACGAGTTTGTTCTTCTTAATTTATGAAATGTTCCTTGTAATTTCATCTAAACAGAAGGCCAGATGAGCATGTTGGAAAATTCGTCTCGATTAGAAGGAGAAGAAGGAGGTGAGAAGGCAGCGGACGATTCTAAAGATTCTTGGTATCAAGAATTTGAAGATACCGGTGTAGATATTCCCGAAATAGGTGATATGGAAGATCCAGAATCGGACATGGAGGAATACGAAGAGACATATGCCCGTAAAAAGAAGAAGAAAGTACGAGTAAGAAACATTTCCAAAATTTTTAAATACCTTGCTTTATTGAGTATCATAGTAAGATTATTTTTGCATTTTAGAGTACAAGAGGTCGTAAACGAGCTGACAGATTTGATTACACTGATATGGAGAAGCCATACAGTTGTGAAAGTAAGTACTTTTAAATAAATAAAATATGAGTGGATAAGAAATTTACTTATGAAATACTCTTACAGTATGTGGTGCTCGTTACAAAACACGTCCTGGTCTTTCTTATCATTATACCCATGGTCATAACAATGATTCTACAGACAACACCGAAGAAGAATTAAATTATATTCCTCCGAAACCACCCATTCATCCAACACCCGTGACGGGCCATCCTCCCATTCCCGCTCCAATACCAATACCTGTAGTGCCCCCTCCTCCACCGCCACCTCCTCCTCCTCCACCGCCGCCGCCGCCTCAACCTGCCGTTCCTCTGCATCCTGTGGCTCAGCCGACAAGCTCAGCATTTACTTGGATGGCTGCACCATTGGAAGAACCAATAACAAGTAGGTAAAATAATCAATTTTTATTTTAAAAATTTAAACTTTAAATACTTTAACAGTCTATCTTCCAACACTTTTGTTGAACTGCAAATATACAAGGGGTAGTAGTGCATCATTGTATAGCATGAATGCAAAGTAGGAGTGGTTGAAAGTGCAGTTAGGCTTAGGTTAGCTGTGATATAGCAGTTTAGTCAGCAGTTTTATTTAAAAGCATTTGATATTTTTTATTTAATTCAACATTTGCATATCCATATCATTGCTAACATAAATCTAGCTGCATAGTCAGCTGCTCTCACATTACATATGTGTTATGCAGTGATGTGCCTCTTGTGTTGTGCAGTGAGGCTGTTATATTTGACATTTTACTTGATATTTTGGAATGTACAAGGAGGAAATAGTATGTAGTTTTTCATAGGCTATACTTTGTAATTAACATTTTTCATTTAGGGGGCTGAGATTTTTACCATCATTTAACATGGGAGAGACTTTTGGTACTACTATGTATAGTTTAACAAATAATATTTTTTTATATGACACAAGCCTTTTTCTGCAAGTATGTTTTTTCTAATAAACAAGATACACCTGAAAATACATAATAAATTAATTGGATTTATACTAATACTACAGTCTAATGTTACACTTCAGTTGAAATCTTTAAACTCACATTTTTTTGCCTTTCTAAGGCCATCTTTACTACAAAAACCTTCTCTTCCAGGCACAATTCAAACACAAGATATTAGAATGAATTTTTCACACCAAACAGTTTAATCAATGAAAAAGCTTTTCAGACATTCAGGCTAAAGCTCATGCAAATGAGTGTTTTTTCAGTGATCTAATAACCAAGAAGACTTGTGAAACAGTCTAGTTCATAAACCACTACTTATTCTTATATGGCTTTATCAATTTATGATTTTGCTATTACATACCTTCACATAAAAATAATAATTATGTATAATAATGATTCTGAAAGTACGGGGTCTTTCATGAAAACTGCTACCATTTTAAAATATTGTAATTATGGTAATTATTACTAGAGAAGTATGCGACATACATCAATCAACAGAGTAAATGTCCAAGTTTTATCTACCATTTGCATACAAATGTCTCTTTGTCTCCACCTCTAGGAATTGCCATAAACAAAAATGCTGACTCTGCAACAGAAAGCATTTTGTGTTCTGTAATTAGCAAAATTGGAATCACTCATTATTGTGAAGCATGATGAATTAATCCACAGACAGTTTCAAAGTGATCCTATGTGAAGCAAACATTCTTGTTACACAATAATGACTGATTCCAACTTTGTGAAGCACAAAATGCCTTCTCTGTTGCAGAGTTGCCATTTTCATTTATGGCACTTCTTAGTGGTGACAGACAAAAATATATTTGTATGCAGATGGTAGATGAAATTTAGATGGTTTCTCTATCACATGGTGTACAATGCATACTTCTTAGGTAATAATTAACATAAAACAGTAATGTAAAAGGGTAGCATTCTTTTGGAAGACCTTATATTTGTATTCTATTTATAGATAAATTTTTGAAGATCATAGTAATGCTTCCACTTTTATGTTTCAATCTGGAATAATTATTTATTCAAGAATTTCTCGATTGATTTGGCTGAAAATGGAACCAAAATAATCAAAATGCAAAAATATATTTGTTCTGTACTCTGTTTATATATATATGTCTAGCTTTTATATTAATATGAAAGATATTATAGTCTCTCTGTCTGCTGTTCCATACTATAACATATAAAAATGTTATAGTATTTCTCTAAATTTTAGTATCATATGGTAGGATAGGATAAAAATTTAAGACAGTAATATGAAATTTAAAAGTTTGCCACATTTTTTGCTTGGTAAATTTGATTGTAATGTTTTGTTTATCGTACACGTCTAAGAACTTATTATATCTGTTGATTGTGTAGACTATTATTATTCTATTCATTAATTTTTTATTGGTACAATAGTTTTTTCATTGCATTCTGTAATTTTTTCAACAGACAGCTGTCAATTACTTACAAGAACAGTGAACACAGTAATGATATTTTGAAGGTTTGAGGAAGATGTGATCATTATACAAGTTGCAGAGTGGTTGTCTAGTATTTTGTGTTTATGTGTATCTTAGTTAATTACAGTAGAGCATCAATTATCCAAATCAATTGGGAACTGAGGTTGTTCGGAAAATTGATTTTTTGGATAATCGATTATGTACGAAAAAATGTATTAACCGATCCCATGTTGGAATTCATTCAAATCCTGGAACGTTCTTAACTACCCTCTCATGGTTGCGCCAGTGCTATCAGCTAAAACATGCACACCAACAAAAATAATATTGGAGTAGCCCAAGACATAGCCAAAGATTTGCAGCACCATAGCACTAGCGGAAATTTAAATTTGCCGACTGGAAAGCTGTTTGTTAATTGATGTTTTGGTTGATCAATATTTGGATAATCAATGCTATACTGTAATTTAATACGAGATAAAATTTATAATAGTTGCAGTTGGTTAAATATGTTTAGAAAAGATTTTCATATATAGTAGCATCAAATTTTGTCTACAAACTACAGTAAAAATATGCTAATTAAGATGATTTTAGATGTGTTTTTGAGCAAATCAGTGAGTGGATGTTTTTAGTCCAATTTATTGCCTTGTTTTTAAAGTTAAGTATTTTAACTTGAAAAAAGTTTTGTGTTTTATAAAAATAGTTTGTCAAATAAATAAATCAGTAATGACTCTACTTAATAAGCAAAGAAAAAAATAAATAAATAAACTGACATATAAAGGCTAGTTTATTGTCCAGAAGCAGCAAAGATTTTCAAGATTGTTAGCTGTTGCTGGAGTTGACAAGAACTTCATCCAGTTTTTATAATCAATCTGGCTAGCAGCATAATGCAATGGGGGTTTACATTATAGATGCCACTACCAGAAATGTGCATCTATAATTCAACATCAAACTGGAACTTCACAAATTCTGTTGTTACAATGCCACTGGACTGTAAACTAACTAGAGTCTCAGATATTCTACAGTCCAGAAAACTCATTGTCGTGTCCAAAAACACAAAATATGTGTAATCTAGTTTTTATTTCCATAATATAAAACACTAGGATCAAATATATTATTATTCACTGGTGACACTTGATGATAGCATCAATTCCAAGTGTTGACAAAGAATACAACCCTTTTTCCAAGTTGCCACTGCAAAATGCCACCACACAAATGCCACAAACTTGAAAGTAGCCAATGTTTCGTTAAATTAAAATTTAATGACAAATAGAAATAGTCACTACTGGCATATAGTTAATACATATATGAATTTGCAAGTACAATACTTTTACAACAATTTTGCTATTTATACTAGCACCATTGCCATCCATAAAACTTATCTTCTAAGTCCACATTAAGTTGAGTTTATGGGACTCTACTGTATTAGAATTGGTACTTCATTGCATCAGAAAGGTTTTTGAATGTATCTACATCAGCAATTGATGCTGGTGAAAGATTCAAAAATACTTCCGATATAATAAATTATTGTCAACTTATATTCTGCTTGTTACAGGTTGAGTGATGTACCCTACATAGTATTGACTATTGACTGATAATTTATACTTAAAAATTTGATTATGATGTTTTTGTATTGACTTTTAGATTGTAGATTAACCCAATATATTTAACTAATTTTGTATAGATATGTTTTACAAAATTGATTTTGGATTGAAAAGTTAATAACTTATGAAAAGATTATTTATTTAGTTTATTATTTTTGAAAATTTTACTAATAAAGAAATCTTTATTGAAATTCATAACTTAATTCAATTTTTTTTCTTCTTATAGGAGTGCAAATAAAAATGTCTATGTACATTTATCTATTTGACTGAATGCTTCTAGACTCACTTGCTTATCTTCAGAATCCAAGAAAACTGTTATATTTTTGTTTTCTGTTGAAACATTCTACATTTTATACATTTCAAAAAACAAAAAGTATGTAATGCACATGTTTTTACATCAAGATATCAAATGTTTTTTTTTTAACCCTCATCTATCATTGTTTCTTGTCTCCATTGTCTGTTTGCTAGCTGTCTGTGCTGCCGACAAATTACCAACATTCCTCGTGTTAATTTTTAAAATTCTCTTTGTAAATCTTTACTTTTTCGGTCAATTTAGGTTCCTTTGGTCTCTCACAAACATCACAAGTTTTGCTGTCAAAATCCACTTTCATTTCCTTATCATAAGTGGTCATTATATTCCCTGTACCCTTTCTTAAATCTTCTCTGTTCTTTCATTTGTTTCCCAAACTTCTTCCTAGTGGCACTTACGCAAAACTTTTTTCTACTATGTTTTTCCTTTGTTGTAATTGTTTGGTGTTTCTTTCTCATATCTTAACATACCAAAAGCTGAAAGTTTTAAACCAATAATATGTCTATGAAATGAAGAATTTCGTTTTGAATTTCCAAATGATAAAAGATACTGTTTATAAAAATAAAAACTATTGTCAACAAAAAACATAAAGATTTAGAAGGCGAGATTAAAAGTGAAGTAATTAACAAGGGACACCAGTAATTTGTTAGCAGCACGGAGACAGATAGTGAAAAGGCAACGGAGGCAAGAAAACAGCAGATGATGAGGGCTAAAAGAAAAGATTTGATAACTTATGTAGAAGAAGATGTGTGCATTATGTTTTGTCTTTGTTTCAAATGTTCCAAAGTGTAGAGTGTTTGAATGGAATATAAAAAGATAATGATTTTCTTGGATTCTGAAGAATGGCAAAGAAGCTCAAAAATGCTTAACCAAATAGATGAATGTATGTATAAATTTTTATTTAGACTCCTATAAGCAGAAAAAGAATATTCTAATAAAGAAAAATTAATTAATTAGGTTTGCATTTTTATTAATAATAACGCAGTTAATATTTAATGAAAAATTAATTTTTATAATTGGACTATAAATAAATATATGGCAGTTTCTAATTTTTTTCTTATTTTTGTTTTTTCTTTAGCAAGGAAACCAAACTCAGGAAATAGTCCAAGTCCTTATTGTGATTTTTGTCTTGGCGACAGCACCGAGAATAAGAAAACAAGACAAGCCGAAGAACTGGTTTCTTGTTCTGACTGCGGACGCTCGGGTAAATTTATATAAAGAGAACAGTTATTTTTTCGTCTCGTAATTGGTTAAGAGCAATCCGAGAAAAGAAACCACGGAAGTTAAATTAATTTGATTAAGCATAGAACTTTGTACAAACATGGAATTTCAAAGATTGGTGTTTATCATCGATCGCAGTCGTGGATAAACCATGTGTACACGGCAAGAGGAGCTTCGTATCGAAACAGTTTCGCCCACACTTTATCTTCGAATCACTAACATTATACATAAAGTGCATGTCCTATTTAAAAGCTGCAAGACGACGTAAAATTAATAAAGATTAGTCTATTTAAAACATAATAATTACGTCGACCGATGCCGATAGTTTATTCTTTATCGGTTTAGCCGTATACAGTATTTATTAGTTACTTCGGAATTCTACTTTATGTAGAGATATTTCATCAATTGTTTGCAGCAAAACTTATTTTTCTTGCATTATATTTCTTTATAGCTCATCCAACATGTCTTCAATTTACTCCCAATATGACCTTATCGGTGAAGAAGTATAGATGGCAGTGTATTGAATGCAAATCGTGTGGCATTTGTGGTACATCTGATAATGATGTATGTTGTTTTATATCTTCTATTATTAATATTTAAAATTATATTTTGTTACTGATGAGCATATTTAAAGAAATTATTATATTATTATATTGACGAGCATATTTAAACTTTTGGTTTTAGTTTTTATTTATTTTTTTTTTATAAGATCGTATTTAAATACAGTAGATTCCTGATAATTTGTGATATTCACGCTTCAGAGAATTTAATTTATTTTCATGTTCATTTCGAATCCTTCAAGCTAGACATATTTGTTACGAGATAAAATTGATTTATCTCCTCGTTCGGCATTGTTTCAAATATATCATAAGATATAATGAATTCCCAAATTATTCATGTTAAAAACACTACATTTTATATTGATCTTTAAAGACATTCAAAGAGACATTGACAGAATTTTAAGATAATTAAGCCCCTTTTTTTATTTATTTATTATAAAAAATAGTTTTAGAAAGCATCAGTTGTTTCGTTATGAGGTTAGATATATAAATTAGAAGTCTTGAATACTTTTTGTGTAAGTAACATTCCAAGAACTTGCTGACCACTTGTCTAAACAACTGGTTTGTTTGTTTATGCCACTGAAATGTATGCAGATTTAATTGTTGCATTTTAATCAAACCAGAAAGCCTGTCAGGTGCCTTCTGAGTCTATTTTCTACTTTTGTTTAATGAGGAATTTTATTTTCAGATTTATTTAACTACCCTTTTTCTTCTTTCTTTGAGCAATTGAGCTACTGTTCTATGCAACACTTTCTACAATTCTTTAATACATTTAGAAAATATAGTAGGATTAATGAGTCATCTTAACTTTTGAAGACAATTATTGATCAAATTGCAAGTTTTCCACTGTAAATTATCATATCATCACTTATATTCTTTATAATTCTATGTACTATTTAAAAAACATTAGAGAATGACAGTTTATCACTATCATAAGCAGCCTTTTCTGGTTGGGGATCATAAGTAAACTTTGATGGCTTCCAGCAGTTTGCATGCATTTTCCTTATATGTACAGGATTACTCCTGCTGAGTACCAACACATCATAATCTACAGGACACTAGATACTAAAATAATAATTTATATGCTAATAATATGCAAACTAGTTTGTTCTTATCTTTCCCTGGTCAAGTTTAGTTTAAATGTTTCTCATCACATTAGGGTTTCATAATAGCAGCACAGGCATGAATATCGCATGACTGATTTATCATATAATATTGTGACTCTGCTAATATGATTTTAGTATTTACTATATTTAAGTAAACGTTCATCAATTGAAGTCTTGCATTATTAAAACTTCTCTCATCCATTGTTATAATGACATAATTATATTTGTTATGTAAATATTTAAGTAATTAACATATTATGTTTCAGAGGATATAACTTCAGTTTGTTAATTCATTGAAGTTTGATGATAATAATTGAATTAATTTAATTTTTATTAATTTTTCAATCCTTTTCAAGAAATTCTTCTGTTTCTCTTTGACAGTTTTAATGTATTTTGAAATTTAAAAAATCAAATTGTTGTCATTTAAGATGTGTTGGGTCAAATTGTTGGAACTTATGGAGGGCAATTATTACATTATTCAATTTGTTTCACATTTTTAAAGTATGAAGCATAGATTTATTAAGCATTGTCAAATTAATCATTACTCCTGTAACATGGATGAAGTTTAAGAATGCTAATGCTTTCAACCCAGTAAAATTTACTATTTTCAGGCACATACAGTTTACATGGGGTCAAAGATGTTAGCATTTTTTACACTTTACTTGCCATTACAGGTACATTGATTACTTTGGCCAAGTAACTATAGTGGCTAGTTCTGTTTTAATTCAACTTGGTAAATAATTAGTTATTACGAGTGAAACAAAATCTTTGGTAAATGCAAATAACATGTAAAATATGTTAAAGCAAATATTTTATTGAGAAAAATTGCTTAAAAGGCATATTAGGTCATTCCAAGTAATGCTCTAACTTGTTACTAAGCCATTAGATTCTGTTACGATATGCTAATTTCTATCTAATTATGCTCTGTTGTAGCATACAAACAGTAGTAAATTGTTTTGTGCAAATGGTTAAATTTATATTACTATTTTATCACCTCTTACAAAGTGTTATAAAGTTAAATACGTTCCTTTAAAATAAGGAAATTTTCTCTTCAGTTAATTTTATTTAGAAAGTAATTGGAGAATTGGGACTTTGCAATCTTTAATAATGAAATTCAGGATTTATGCAATTATATTCGAGATATTTCCTGACATTCCACAACTCTTACAAGAGTAAATAAGTCCTCTTCTTCAAATGTTCTCATTTAATTGAATTCATTCACAAAGTTGGCTCTAAATTAATGTAATTACATGATAATCTAGAAGTTTTAACACATTACTTTTTTTCAAATAATAATTATTAGTTCACAAAATTGAAAATACTACACTGAAGATGGTCTGAAACAAGACCATAAATGATCTTTTGTTGATAGAATATTAACAAAATTAAGCTGAATTTACAAGGTTTTTCAAAAGTATTGCTACCATTTTAAATTATAATTACATTAATTATTATCTGAAAACTCAGTGTACATTAAAAAATTTGAAAATTGTAAGTTTCACATTTGCCCAGTACAATTTCTCGATGCATTCATGCTGCAACACAAAGCATGCATCCAACTGATATTCAACTTCTTCCTATGCTTGCTACAGCATATCTATTGTCATTCCTCTCATGGTAGCTACAATACTAAGGCTCCTGCACATTTGTCATGTTGCCTGACAATGAGCAATTCCCACTTTGCAGACCACAGAACGTAAAATGCCTTCTTGCATAGTCACTATTATTTACGGTGCTTCCTAGAGGTAGTAGAAGACAAGATGTTCGAATGTGAATGGGAGGTGAAACTCTGATGGTTAGTCTATCAATTGTGTATATTGCATACTTCTTGCATAATAGTTAACATAATTGCAGTAATTTAAAATGGTAGCATTCATTTTGGAAGATCCTATATTTATTTTTTATTCTAGAAGTCACAATATATGGAGACAAACATCAATGACAAATAATTGAAACTTCTTAATAAGGTGAAGGTCTATTGCATTTCTTTAGATTTAATTCACTAGTTGAATTTTTTCATTGATAAAACATCCATCGTGTAACTTACAGCAACACAAAGCATTTTAATCACTGCCCAGTTTGGTTGAAACAACGACCACTTTACAAAATGTAGATTTAGTACAAAGGCGATTATGTAGAATTGAGTACAAAGTTTTTTTTTTTCTTTCTTTCATTTATCTTAAAATTCTTGTTACTTTCATAGAAATTTTTAATGTAACGTTAAACGTTTTCTTCATAATCAAATTAAATCAGTCTTCGTTAAGTATAAGTGCTGGCTTGAAGGATAAACTTGTTGGATGTCTTGTGTATTATATTAGTTATACGATTTGTTTGATCGCGTATTGTATATATTTGAAATGTGTGTACATATTTTATAGTTGATATGGTAAAAAAATTTCTTTTATAAACATGTATTGAATATTATAAATAAAAATTTCTTTTTACATATAATTACTGTTTCCAAATGATTTCAATTAATTAATACATTTATATATATATATTTTTTTTTTATCCATGAATTATCAGGAGTATACTTTATTTAATCATAAAATTAAGTCTATGTATTTATTAATTATAAAAATTTCAATATTTAATCATTTTATTCTTAATTTTTCCAACTTCAATAATTTAAAAAGAAAAGAAAATGAACGATCATAATTTTATATATTAATATTTATAATTACAAATTAATTTTTTTACGTATTAAAAATGCCTTGAAACAGTAATATGGTATAGAAGATAATCCAAAATTGTGAATTTGCCAAAAATTTTGCCTTTTAAGCTAATTTTCTGTATATTTATCGACAAAATATATGGAAATTTTACATATTTAAATTGTCGACAAAGGATACGGCAAAGTATTCTTCGTTGACAATTGACGATATTGGTACGTTACACTGTTAATTGTGTTGATTTTATAATGATAATATTAAAGTCGTCTATATTGATGATTACAGTACATTACATAATATAAAGATGTTCACACGATTATAACTTTGAAACATCTTCCTTAAAGAGTAACATGATTTTACATGTGTATAATTTATATAATGGAAGGAAACACTGTTCAATATCATCCAGCCAAATTCACTCGTTTAGTAACATACAAAGGTTCATTTAATATTAATATTTATGTATATAATGCCTATGGCAAGCAATAACCTCTCCCCGTTTAATAGTAGAGTAAATCGGTGATACTTAACTCGGGGCACAACACTTCTACAAGAATATTGACTCAATTTTCATGAATAAAGGTGAGAAAAACATTAAAAATCTGAAATAAAATGAATTAATATTAAATATAAATGTGTAATTATGTATTTTTTTTCTGATGAATGTGCATAGATAAATTTTCTTTTGTAATCATTTGAGCTGTGTCTGAAATTAAGTTATGGTAAACAAGAAGATGGGATGATTCTTAAACCTTTAAATAGAAAATTAAGTTTTTTTATGGAAGTGTAAGAGTGCACTTTAAAAATTTAAATAGTAGTCAGCAGAAGAGATTAAGAACCAGTTGAATAGATTAAATCATACTTACTAATTAATAGTAGAGGTCTAATATTTAAATATTAAAACAGATATTTATTTAATTGCTGTAGATGAGTTTCTATACTATTTACCTTTTTTCAGTAGGGAATTTTACATTTCTCCTGTAAGTTTTCATTTATGTCTTGTCAAAATAGGAACAATGTAAAATTCCATATACTAAAGGGATAAATGATCCTGAAACATGTATTGCTATTGAATGGCGATTTATGAAATTAAAGTGTTTCTGACCTGTGGGCACTAGAGGATCTTTATCAAACCCATTATGAGTTCAGCAAGAAATAAAATGTCTGTTTTTTATTATTATTCTGAGCGTTTAAAGTGAATACTATAAAGGAAATGACATTTGAAT